TTTCTGATAATGTCGTAATTATCCTTTCACTTTCATTGTTTGGGATGCAGGTTCGGGCTGTTGGCAGAAATACTAGGGGATCAATTGCCATGAGACTAAAAGAGGGGGACAAGATGGCAAGCATGGACATAATACCAGCAAGCATGCGGAAAGATCTTGAAAGGGTGCCAGAAGAAACCCAGAACAAGTAATTTCTCCTCGCACAATGTTTGCATCTTTCCTTCTGATATATTTTGAGTAAATGAATAATTTTTAAGGAATTGATTTAGAAATACACACTTTGTTTAACTAGAGAGAACGAAAATTCTGTTGGAACATGGAAATTGATATTAATTTTGCTGGAACTCAGAATATGTAGTTTTAATTCCTGTTGAGATTCTTTAGGAAGTCAATTTCCATTACCCTAGAAGAGATTCCCTTCCTCTCCTAGTTTGATTAAGTGTGGATTCAAACTGAACTCCACAAAAATGATTCATTTGTTCCAAACATAGCCTTAAAGTAGCATCTAATCAGCACTCCTATTAGATAATCTGTTGCCTGTCAATTCATAAATCATCTATAAGAACTGTGATTTTGTTGTCTCTGGATATGAAACTGTCATTTAGGCTGTTGATCTCGTAAAAAAAAAAATAAGAATTGTTGTTTAGGTTGGGTTTAGAGCCTGTATGGCATCTTCAGGGATCTTAATTGGGTTTGATCTTGGACATGGTTTATCTAGAAACTCCTGATGTCTAAGAATGATATAGTAAAGCTGTAATCCCAAAGTATATGGTTTTGCTGCTGTAATGTTGTTGTTACTGTCAAAATTATTTGTTACTTTTAAAAACGTTAACTTCGCTATGGAGGACGAGCTCCTTGTGTAATCTGTTATCAATATAATGGATTCAGATACTCGTTTCTATTTTCTCCTGTTTCTCTTTCTAAATTCTCAGGTATCAACTTCTAAGCTGTCTGACAGACTTTTTTATAATTGCTTTATTACATCGTAGGCTCACGTGTGATGCTGTCTTACTCTGTTTGCTTTATTTTTTAATTTACTTTTTTCTTATGTTTTTAATTGTTGGTTGATTTACTGAGAAATTATCTGTTTGTTTGGAGATTTTGGAATGCTCTTTCTGGTTAATTTAAGGATAAGCATTTTGGACCTAACATCGCATTGGTTTTTACATAATGTTCTAATTTAAAGCCCAGGTTCTAAACATTTTTGTGGGCTACCGATTTCTGTTCAAGTACTTATTCTCATCTCATGTTGGAATATAATAATGATATGTTTCTATTGGTTTGAGCCTTTTAGATAATTGGTAATTCCAATTAATTGTTTCATATAGTATTAGAGTTGGAAGTCAAGTGTCTGAATCTTTATTCTATTATTTTATGTTAAAATTAATTTACCGCAAGTATTTTATGGCCTTGTGTTTTGATCCATGCTTTCAATCTCCTGCAATTTCTTGTTGAGGAGCGTGTTAGAGTAAAATGATAATTGGGAAATTTTGTTTTTCTTAAACTTTTGAGATGACCAGTAAAACAATTGTTCACAATCATACCTGAAGTTGAACCGTGTTTTCACAATTGAAGTATCTAGTGCTTTTTTCATGTACTTATCCTTTTGGTTAGGCTGAGGTAGCCTTTTTTTGGTCTGAGATGAAGTGTGATTTAAGTTTGAAGGCGACCAATTTTGATCCCGTGCTGTTCCTGTTATGTTGTGCTTTCTCTTGTTAACCATGTCTACCTTTTTCCTTATCTTCTACTGATATGTTCTTGGAATATTGTTCGCTTTCTACTTGCATATTTTTTCCCAGTGAAAGGAGCTTCAATGGTCAATGGTTATTATTTGTCTCCGAGAGTGGTTATGGCAAGCGTGTTCCCCTCAGTAGCTTCCGAATCTCTCCTTTGAATAGAGTTGGTTTAATTGGTTACAAGGTACCTTGCGTATTCCCAAAATGATATTTTCCTTACTGGCTAAGTAGCTTGCTTAGAATAACATTTTGTTTCTCATGCTTACGTTCAGTTCGCCTCAGAGGATCGATTGGCAGCTGTCTTTGTGGTTGGGTTTTCATTTTCAGGTAATTCTGTATGGTTATTGTTTTGAAGGAATTTCCATGTTGATCTCTAAGCATGTATCTGATTCTATTTCTCTCCCTTGTTCTCCCTCCTCGCTCAACCTTGCAGAAGATGGTGAAAGTGATGAACAAGTTGTTCTAGTTAGCCAAAGCGGTACTGTCAACAGAATTAAAGTTAGGGATATTTCAGTTCAATCTCGTTATGCAAGGTATATAGCAAGTTACATACTTGTTCAGTCTTTTGTCTTGTCAGTTTGTGCATTCACACACGGAAGCATGTGCACCTGCCAGTTTTTTTTTTTTTTTTTTTAAATAATTTATGCTGTACTTCTGTTTACCCAAATCACTCAAGAGTTATAGGGGAATAATAGGCCAGGTCATCTAATACAGTGTGAAGGTAAAAGAAATTTTCTTCTGGTAGAAAATCTTGATGTAGCATTTATTGATTAGAAGATTTGTTATTCATCAATCAACCAGCTCAATGTATCTTCCCGTTGGATAAGATCTTCAACTCTAATGAAAATTAACTCAAACAAGGACAACATACTCTGTTATTTTTGAGAAATTACTAGAGAGGTTCTCATACAATTCCTCAGTCATCATCTTGGAGAACCAGTTCGGAGATCTGCAATTATTAGCATCTATACTACAATTTCACTGTTTTCATTCTGTGTGTAATGTGCATGTATCTAGAGAATCCTTTTACTTAATGCTTTACTGCCTTACATCAAAATATATTTGCAAGGCCTTGATGATTTCTTATTGAACTTGGAAAAGAAATGATATCTTTGGGTTGTAAGATATTTTTGTTGATTCAAAAGTCAACTTGAGAATCACTGATCTCTTTCTTTTTCCTTTTATCACACGTTTGGTATGTGTATATATATATTTTGCATAGAGATGTAGAAGCTTTGATTTTTAATAGATGCATGTTTTATCTTCTTTTCTTTTAAAATTTACTTCAAACAAAGGGATGAATCTAGAACTGCCTAATGTATTGCCATAATTTCTCATTCTAACTTGGTTAATCAAAACTTTAGCTATCATGCATTGGTGACTTAATTTCGTTTCGAATATTGGATCTCTTCTTAATAAGTTGCAGTAATCTTACTTTACCTGTTTGTGTTGCTAGAGGAGTGATTCTGATGCGGTTGGAGCATGCCGGAAAGATTCAATCAGCTTCGTTAATCTCCACCACAGAATCTGAGCTGGAAGAGGCGCTTCCTGTTACAGGGCAAACAGCAGGAGCTGAAACACCTGAAAATATTTCACTGAATTCGTAGAGTCCAGTTTTAGGTGGGGTTGGTATACAATGTGAGAAGAAGAAATAAGATGGTGTTTGTATATGAATGTACACTTATATATGTTTTATTTATCGGGGAAAATTGTCTTCCCATTTTGATTCTAATAGACCAGAACTTTGAGGAAACTAATGTAAGGGTAAGTCAACTTATTTTAATAGACCAAAACCCGAGAGATATTAAATATGTTCACACTTATGATATAATAGTAGTCAGTTAATTAAATTCATGAATTTAAATTTTTTATCTGTTGATAAAATCATAACAATATTTAATATTTTGTTTTTAGTTAATGACAAGATAATTTTGAAGGATTAATAATGAAAGTTGGGTATGTAAAAGCAGCAAGGAAACGACATTACAAATTTCGTTTTGTAAAATAAAGAACACAGCACTGAAATTCTTGATATGTAAAATTAACCTGTTAAATGTATAATTAATTCTGAACATCAATTTTAAATTATTACATTTGAATTTATTAACAAAATGATTTTTTCTTTTTTTAAAAAATCTAAATATCTTTATAATTTTTTTTTTTTATAAATATTTTATGTTTATACCGAAAATACTATCGTCATCCATGATTACATTTATTCAAAATTGACGGAAAGATCATAGTATTTTATATGTTAGTTTTGGAACAAATCAACAATGGCATTCTTGACCCATTCCATATTTAGAAATTATATTTACAAACAATATTATATACAGAAGTTACTCAATGATTACAACAAACTTGTCATATCAATTAGATTCTGTACTTTCAGAGGATGATCCAATAGTATAGTATATATAAGCTCCTAGTGCTGCAATCACAAGAACCGCCACACCTATATTCACCATCGCCTGTCGTTCTTCACTGTGATTCATCGTCAATTCCTTCATTCTCTTCACAGCTCCAGACACTCCTCTTCTTTCCTTCACTTTCCCTGCAACAACCACCTCTTTCCTCTTCTCCATTTCATTTCCTTCACCATTTTTCTTCCTGGTTTCTTCCTCATCTTTCTTTCCATCACCAACTTCTTTATTTTTCTTCCTGGTTTCCGCATCATAATCCTTTCCCTTCACGTCTTCTGCCATTTTCAACCCGGAACCCTCAACTTTCTTTTCATCACCAACTTCTTTAAATCTTGGTAGATCATTTGCAGGCCTTTGAAGATCAACTACCTTCTTCCCATCGCTTACAGTATTACTTTTCTTCTGATCAGCATCGCCAACTTTTCTTGTAGAAACAGGTTTATTATCTTTTAGTTGGCCGGAGAGAGAAGAATCTTGTCCTTGTCGAGGCTCTGGGGTGGTGATGGCCGGAGGAGGAGGAGGAGTTTTTGGTTGTGGGATGAGTTTTGTGATGGTTTGTTTTGGTAATGTAAGGGTAAGAACCCCATTCTTTAACTTGCCCTGAATCTTTTGTATGATACAATTTTTTGGAACGGGGAAATCTTGACTGAAACGACTCCATTTGTTATTTCCAACAGGCATTTGTCCAATAACTCTAATCGTTCCATTGGAGTATAAATATGAGGTACTGATTTGCTCCCTGGAAAAACCTGCGTCCAAATTATGTTTAATTTCTTTAACTTATTATTAATTTCACATTACAAATATACGGACGTGTATATATATATATATATATAGCTATGCACAATATGATATATGTTCGATGAGCATTCTGGGCAGATAATTATCAAAATTTTATAAGGGTGCATCCATACATACATATGTTTGCGTGTAATTATATATATATATATATGCAAGAACTGTTATTCTTTCTCTATTCTGATTAAAACATAATTAAGAGTGTATGTAAACAATCCTAAAGCAACTTATAAAATGAACAAACCAGGAAGATGAACGAGTAGAAGATTGGCATCTTCTTCCTCCTTCCACTCAAACTTTGGCTGGAACTCCTCGTACTGGACACGAGATGAGGAAGGAGATTTTTGTCGTGTTGCCATTTTTATATGCTCTAGCGATAATAATCAAGCAGATTGTAGTATTCGGATGATTGAAGTAGGTTTACATGCAGGAGATATTCGTCACATAAATATATCTATATATATATATATATATGCATATATTTAGAGGTGCTTTCGCGTAAGAAAAGATGATACCGAGGATTGCATGTTGGGTATGGTTTTGTTTTCTTCATAATGACACTATTCCTTTTCAGCGGTTTTGGGATTCTTAGGTTTTCAATCATATGAAGACTGAAATTTTCCGGGTAATGTACGAGGTATAGCTTCCTCTAAAGATAAGGTAAAGCAGAAATTCTTTGTTTGTCATTCAATCTTTGTAATTGCCTGAAACTTTTAATATATTGGAATTAATGCTTCTAATCGTGATTAGGATGACAAAAAAGAAAAAAAAAAAAAAAAAAACGTCAGAACCTCATTTGGTACGTTATGTATAAAATATTATACATGTTTAAATTTTTAATTGAAAATAATACATATATACACATTAATAAAACTCCTTTTGAGTATATATATATATATATATATATATATATATATATACATACAAAAATTAAATAATATCATTTCCAACATGTTTTTTTCTTTAGCAAATAAACCACAATTAAAGATATGTTTTGTTTAACTTACTTTTGGTCAAGCTAAGCTTATTAGCTTAATTCAAATATTGGTGTTTGTTTCCCTCCATAAACCAATGATTTATAAGTCAATTTTTTTTTTTTATTTATAAAAAAAGTAATTTTTCTTTGGTTTGCAAACCATTGTAAAATGTTTATTCTATTCTTTATAATTATTAAGCAATGTTTTAAATTTTCTAGAAGCAATGTTTAATAACGTTCATTATCTATATAAAATTTATTAGCTTAAGTAAAAATACACTTATTTATTTATTTTTTATTAACTTATAAGTTTCATAAGTTTTACTCACTATAAATTTTATAAAAAGTCAAATTAAAGGAGACTTAAACTTTTATAATAGATCCTTTTCTCTCCACCCAAGGCTATTAAAGCCTAACAGCTTATTTAATTAGTGCTTAACAACTTAACCACTCTTTTCTTCGATCATCTTCTCTTCTTTATTAATCATCAAAAATAAAGTTCCTATAACTTCTTGTCACCTCTTTCTTAAAAATATATCAAAAACAAAACTTCGAAAAAATGACCTTAAAAATTCTTAAAACATTGTAAATACTTCAAGCTAATAAGCTCCAATTCACTTTTTTTCTTTTCTCATTCCCCAAATGGCTTATCTTCTTCAAATAATTATCTCTATTGCAATTGTATATCAACTCTTTAATTCTCCACCATTAATTCCCTTTGTTGCTTACCTTAAAAAGAATTTTTTAGGAATTATCTTTCTTTATTCATTTTTCCTCTACAGCCATAAGTAAAAACCTATAAAAAGATCTCATTTAAACTAGGGTAGGTTTTAAATGTTAGTAGCATATAATTTTCATACATTACCAAAATATTCAAGAATGAGAATTTAAGAGCTAAAAGAACGAACAATATTAGCCATACAAGATAGGAACTAAGAGTGGTAAACCACAAGGATCAAGTGAGAAGGGTTGTGAATGATGCTTAAGGTATGCCTCGAGAGTTCATACTTCCTCTTATAGTGATCCAAACAGGCTTCTAAGGTCGAGAAAGGTTATTGAATAAATTATTCAAAATTATGTTATAATTAATTTTCTTTATGGAAATTATAAATTGTCGATTATGAAAAAAAATTATAAATGAATGGTTATGAAAATACTAAAACAAAATAATGGTAAATTATATAATGATAATTAAATAGCAATTAAATAGAATAAATGAGTGGTTAAGTAGAAGGAAATTAATAGGCGATTTTTACTGCCTATATATAGGCTATGTATTATTCTGTAACAGTATATCATTCTGATTGAATATGTAGGGACCCAAAATTAAAAAAAAAATTATAAATTGAATGCGGAAGCGAAATAATAGAGTTAGAGTTTACACTCCTTACGCAATAGTTTAAAATATCTAATAGGGTTACGAGAATGTCCATTTTAAAAGAATAAACGAAAATTAAAGAAATAAATGAAAAGTAAATAATTGAGCATCCTAAGACGACATTTATTAGCTTTTGAAGAGAGTTCGGGTAGTGAACTATTCACAACCCTCTTATTGATCGGGATCTGTATCTTGGTTCTATTGATATAAAATAATTAATGAAATGGTGAACTACACTAGCCTAGTAAGAATATCATAATACTCACTGATACAGAAACTGAAGGTTGGTAAAAATCATAAAAATAACCAATGGAGCTCTTAAATTAAGTAAATTTATTTATTATAAATAAAATCATTTATTGCATACTTACCGTTGTGAGATTTTCAAAACCAATCTATAGAGGTAATAACACAAACAATATCATAATATCATATTCAAGTGGACAGAACAACAACTTTTCCTTTTTATTTGCTTACTGGTATTCTTGGGAGTCAATAGGGATATCCCACCACGCGTGAACTAATATAAAACCTTATCAACTAACCAGTCATCCCCATACTCCATCCGGTATGAGAGTCATAAATATCATCACTCAATACCATCGTCTGGTATGAGGGTAAATCGGGCCGTCCCCATACCCTGTCTGATATAAGGGTGAATCGAGCTGTCCTCATACCCCGTCCGGTATGAGCGGCAAAAAATACCATCCATCGATACCCCATCCGGTATGAGATAACGTCCGCGGTTGAGTTCCCTACGTACTCAATTCGTCAACCATCTCTCTAGATATTCAGTAAGATAATCATTCACTTATTCACTTAACCAAGTAATTTCTGTTTACATTTTTATTTTCAGTTTCACAAATTAACTGTAAATCACGCAAGACAAACAATATGTGCATCAAAAAAATACAACTGAACCATTTTACCAATTTTAGTATATTATCATGCATTTAAAATTGTAAAATCAAACAATCAGTTAAATAAGACAAATAATAATAAATAACTGGTTCTGCCTCCATTAGTAACCTGTAATTAGTTCTTGAAGTTTTCTAAATTACATAAAATATCATATTATTTATAATTAAACTTCAATCCCATAACATAGAATAAGGTGAGGAATTTTTACCCGAATCAGTGTCTGAAATACCGAACTTTTAACTACGCCTATTGACGGTCACCGAATTTCTTGAATTTTTCTGTAGAGATTAAAACACGCTTAACGTATTTAAAAATACTCCAAAAATCCAAAATCGGTGTTAGAAACCCTTTTTCAACCAATTTTAAAATTCTAGCATGGTGACACCGTCGTGCTCCGGCGATGGCACTGCCGTCCGCAGCGGTAATTTACCTCGGCTTGACCATTTTTTGCCGATTTTGACTGGTTTTGACCAGTTTTATACCTATCCCTACGAGAAATACGTCAAATGACTCGGTTGGCCGTAAAAATTTAAAAAACAAAAACCTATTGGCGGTGGAATTTTTCAATACAGCAGCTCTACCGACTCATCCTCACGGCTGGACAATTTTTTTCGGTCAACCAGTAAAAAACAGAACGGTAAACACAACGGTGAAAAAATCTCACGAAATAGGAATTTGGAAGGGGCTCATCAGAAACAGTTGCGGGTTTACCTGCAGTTTTTTGCTCAATGGCCGTTTGTTTTTCTCCAATATGGCCACTGGGGTACTCGAAATCGAATTCTGAGCGGATGAGAGAGTTTTTTACCTTTTTTGGCGATCGGATGTGGCTCCGGTGCTGCGACGGGCAGTTCGGGTTCTGTGTGATGCTAAATATTTATACCTATCTCCCGTTAATCTGGACCGTTCATTACATTTGATCTCGATCGTTCGATCGCGTATAAAGAGAAAATAAATATAAATCACTCATCGCATTTAATCATGACCGTCTGATTACGCCTGAGGAGGAAATAAATTCGAACCCTCCACGCGCGTGGGAAGACTTCTGGACCGTCTGATCGCGAGGCTCGCGGATCGCCAGCGTAGCCTCCCGCGTGGTACCGAGTCAGCGTGCCTTGCCACGTGGCGCGCTCCGATTTGTCGAGACTACTGACTGGGCAGTCCTAACACAATTTTCTAAAATTGTGTTCTGAACCTCAGCTTCTGATTTTTTTAAAAAAACACTATTCGAACCTAAATTTTCACATTTTTTTAAAAATTATTTTCAATTTTATCCATAAACTATTTTTTTCATAATTTTACATTAATTTAAAATTTATTAATTTTAAAAAAATAAATTTTTATACTTTTTAGAATGTTAAAATTAATTCCGGGCCCAGGTATTACAGAATAGAATTTTTATCTTTTTTTTCTCAATATGTCTCTTTAATTAAATAGTTTGCATTAAGAACATCTTCTTGTCTTCAATTTATTTCCAACAAATGCATCATCAAAGTTGTTCAATGGACAACATGGACTAAATGTGGTCCTTTGGTGGGGTTAATAATGTGTGTTATCGATGACTCCAAGATTAGCTTTTAGAAAGATACGTGGATTAATGATGCCCACATAAGGAGGCATATCCTAGGATCTTTGCCTTAGCTAATGATTGAGAGGCATGGGTTAGGGAGTATGTGTCATGGAGTAATGATCTTTAAGAATGGAATATTAATTTTAGGAAGAGAGTTTTTGGTTGGGAGGAAGGATATTAGTGAGTCTAATAAAGCTCCTGTAGAGGTAGTACCGAGTAGAGTCAGGGAAGACAAGCTTGTTTAGAAATGGGATGATTAGGGCTTTTTCTCTATCAAGTCCTTTAAGAGGATAGTGAATAATTGTGTCATTAGTTGAGGTGGTTGTTTAAGGCGCCAAAGTATCGCCACCATCGAGGACTTTGTATGGGAAACTTCTTAAAGAATGCCTCCCAATCATATATTATCTGTATCATCTTCTTGTAGGCTTAAGCTTTTAAATGAGTTCCATTCTTCTCATTTAGTTTAGAAACCATTGATCGTATCTTCTTATAATAGAGTTTATCTTGGGTTGTGCAGTGTTCATGTCTAATATGGTGGGATATCTCTTTGTGTACCTCTGAAATATGTTGA